ATTAATATTATTTTATAAAGTCACGTAGAAGGGAAATAATAAAATAATATATTAATATTATAAAGTCACGTAGAAGGGAAATAATAAAATAATATATTTTTATATAAAGTCACGTAGCAGGGAAATAATAAAATAATATTATATTAATAGTATAAAGTCACGTAGAAGGGAAATAATAAAATATGATATTAATATTATTATATAAAGTCACGTAGAAGGGGAATAATAAAATAGTATATTAATATTTTATAGTCACGTAGAAGGGTAATAATAAAATAATATAATATTTTTATTATATAAAGTCACGTAGAAGGGAAATAATAAAATATATTAATATTATATAAAGTCATGTAGAAGGGAAATAATAAAATAGTATCAATATAATATTAGGGAAATAATAAAATAATATTGATATAATATTGATGTAATATTTTTTATTATTTCCCTTCTACGTGACTTTACCGATAAAACCAAGAAGATGATCTTCTGCGCTACACGAGGGGGTGGGTGGCCAGCACCACACCCGACCACCTTGGTCTCCCTAATGGCGATGTTCACATACCCGCGCCGGGTACTCGTTTCATGCTGAGTCGACCTTGGGGGAAGCCAGCATCGATTCAGGGAATCCAACTCGGCTCTTTGCCGGGGGTTCGTAGGGCAGCGCCACTTTGAGGCACCACGTCACGCGCTCTCGCAAGCTGCAGAGCACCCCCCGTGGGGCAGACGTCGCTAACGGGTTTTCATTCCTTACCCCCCGTACCCGTACCCGGCCGCACCAGGGTCACAAATGGGTACCCGTACCCGGCTGGGTACGGGTACCCGTTCCCTACCTGTACCGTACCCGAAATGAGTGACAAACGGTTACTCACCAGTGACTCACGGTCTACCCGTACCCGGCCGCACCAGGGTCGCAAACGGGTACCCTACCCACTACCCGGCTACCCGTACCCGGCTGGGTATCGGGTACGGGTACCTGATTGCGACCTCTGGGATGAAGCCATGTTGCAGGCGCGGGTGGGTTGATTCTAGGAACTTGAATTGTGAGAAAAGACAAGACGTTGGGAAATGAGTGACAAACGGTGACTCACCAGTGACTCACGGTCTACCCGTATCCAGCCGGATACGGGTAGCCGGGTATTGGGTAGGGTACGGGTATCGGGTACCCGGTTGCGACCTCTGCTGTTGATTGTCTGCTGTACCCTCTGTAGAGCGTGAGTGCATCACTGCGTCTCCGCTTGCGTGCGAGTGTCACGTGGGGGATCGGTGGCACAGCGGTTGACGCACTCTGCCACCAACTCCGTGGACCGTTCGATTCCCGCACCACATGGCCAACACTGGTGACGATTATGTGAACCGTTCCTGGGCCTCCCCTAGGTCGACTTAGACTAAAATTAGTAGCTGGTGTGATCTGTAAGCATTGCCACTAAAGAGACAAAGGTGTGGCGCTGGCCACCCACCCTCGCGTGCCTTCATAGGTGCTGCTACTCGCGAACAGCACTTGCCCCAACAGTCTATTAAGGCTACACGGGGGATCCTTGTCTCGGTCGTGTGTGTGTGTGCGTTGCGTGTAACATGTAATATGTCTGCAGAATCAGTCGCATGGAGAAGAAACCCTGGACAGAGCCCAGCGCTAAAAGGCACGAATGCGAGCGGTGTCCGTACACCACGGATCGCACTGGAAACATGAATCAGCACCTGAGAACTCACACGGGCGAAAAGCCATTCAAGTGCACCGTGTGTGTGAAGGCATTTTCTTCCTCACAAAATCTTAAAATTCATCAGAGAACACACACAGGGGAGAAGCCATTCATGTGCACTGCATGTGGGAAGGCATTTGCTCTCTTACAAACTCTTCAATATCATCAGAGAACACACACAGGGGAGAAGCCATTCATGTGCACTGTGTGTGGGAAGGCATTTGCTCTCTTACAAACTCTTCAATATCATCAGAGAACACACACAGGGGAGAAGCCATTCACGTGCACCGTGTGTGGGAAGGCATTTGCCCGTTCAAACTATCTTCTAGTTCACAAGAGAACGCACACAGGTGAGAAGCCCTTCAAGTGCACTGTGTGTTGGAAGGCATTTGCCTCTTCAAACTACCTTCAAATTCACAAGAGAACACACACGGGTGAGAAGCCCTTCACGTGCACAGAGTGTGGGAAGGGTTTTATTTCGTCAGGAAGACGAACGATGCATGAGAAGATCCACAAGGAGAGTGTGAAATCGACTCGTGAAGGTCAAAGTTCAGCTGCCATGAGCCCATCATCTCTCATAAAACAAGAACAGGAGGACTACGACGACTTCGCCACGTGGCCGGGAGTGACAGTGAAGTGTGAAGAAGGGACGACCGTGAAACGTGAGGGTCAGGAAGCTTCTCCAGGCACTTGTTAATGTCATCGCAGCATCCCAATGCAGTATTCTCAACACAAAAATCTCGAGACTCAAGGAGGCTATTCCGGACAAAATTATTCACGTTATTCTTATGATTATTGTAATCCTCACGTGTGTATATTGAACTTCTTTCGCACAGTACGTAGCCAACCTTGCTATACATCCTAAATAGAATAGGCATCCTATGCAGAGACCGGTGCCTGCCAATAAATGTGTAATTTCCACCCTCGAGGTCCTTCGATTGCGATGAGAACCGTCAAGTGTGTATTTGACAATGGTGACACTTTGATTTCTGTTAAGGAATCAAAACCCGCTTGCGACCTCTGGCACATGTACAAGTGTCAACAGTTGTGAACTCTGACACGTCACGGTTGAACCAGCGGACATTGTTTTTCTATTGGAGGAGCCACAATGGTGTGGACCACTCCCTAAGGCCTCTTGTCCCTCATCTCGCCACTCGTCCAAGCTCCCCCCCAAGCCTCAATTCAAGGAGCGACGGAGCGAGCTTCAACGAGGGGACCTCTCGCTAAGAATGCGATGTCACTGCCTGCCTGGAATGAGCTGGTGGATGGGCTCTGATGTGTCAGTGACTTTTGCCTCGGTGTGAACAAGAGTTGCCCCCCCACTGACCCCCATGGGCAGGACTGCCCGACACTCCGGCAGCTGCCGTGTCCAGCCCAGGTTTTGCCCCGGGGACGGTGAGGATCATTGATCCATGATCATCATCATCATCATCCTCGCCGTCCGGATTGTAATCGTTGATACGATCGGTAGATTCCCATCGTCGTCACCGTCATCGCGTTTCCATTCATCACGTTTCCATTCATCACTGCTGATGTTACGTAACCGACGCATTTACACGTGTGTCCTCAACAGCGCTTCGTGAGCAATAATCGCCAATGCAATTGTACGTTGACAACAAGCTGTATTGGGTTGTGTATCGTTCTGCTTGCAAAAGAGTAATAATGTGTAGCATTTAGCATGAATACATTGGCTATTATCAACATTGGAGAAAATGGCTTGAACATTTTTGAAAATCTCTGCTGTGATCGTTAAAGTTTGAAAAAACATTAACCCGTAAAAACAAAGTTTTTCCACTCTAAATCCTTTATATGCGTGGCGGCTAGAGTCCTCTCGTCCTCTGGCTTGAGATGGCTGCCACCTATGGGTCAGATGATTGTCTGCCAGCATTAAGCAATTGGTAAGTAAATATTTAAAAAAATTTCCCTAAACAGTGTAAAATTTTGGAAAAAAATTTTCACGAAAATTAATTGTCACGCACGAGTCTGTGTGGAAAATGTCAGCTCGATTGGATCACGGGAAGTGGGTTAAAAAACGTCCGAAAGATTTGCACGGTCATAAGCAAGCAAGCAAGTAAACTTAATATAAAGGATTTTAAAAAAGTAATTTGTAAAGATGTTTTTGCATTTCAGGGTTTATTTGGATGGGTGCTACAGTGCAAACAAGTCTGTGCTGGTTGGGAGACGTGAAATAATGTCAAAGTTTTGGCCACGGGGGTTTGTTCAAATAGTTGTTTTTGTAAAATATTTTATTTACGTGAAATTTCTTGTGAGTATTTGGTTTGTCCCACAGTGCAAACACAAATTAAATTTGCACGAGGTCACGTGGCCTGCTTGTTGCACTAGTGACCCACTAGTTTAGAGTTTTATTTTACGAAAAAAAAGTTTCGTTGTATTTTTTCTAGTTTTTTTACAAATAAACATTACGACTGTTTAGAATTATGACGGTTAACCGAAGTGGTTTTCGTCGCTCGTAACCGTCTGTATTTGCTACTTACAGCTGCAACATTATTTTGTCTTCGCGTGGGTTGACCGTCTGATCGCGTGGTGCAGAATTTGTCTTGAAAGGGGGGAAAAGTCAATCGACAATTTTTAAACAAACCAACAATATCAATTGGACCTCAAAGCAATGGCATATGCACCATAAACTCTTCCTGAGATTCGGAATCTGCGTCTCCTAAATTCTAGAAATATCAAATGATACAGCAACCCATGGTTTGATAGCTTGGGTTACGGTGTACATTCTAATTTGTTCTTTGGGGGTGGCCAATTTGATCGTCCGTATTTACGTATTTGCAGCAATATATCTCAAGCAGCCATGGCTTGGTTAAGTAACACTGGTCAACAACAAAACAAACATTGTTTTCTGGCCGGGACTTTTGCAGCTGTTCTAGACTAATTTGCTGATTGCAAATCTGATCTCAGATTTGCTCCATCACATCTCATTTATAAATCCTTTATATTAAGTTCGCTTGCTTGCTTACGACAGTGCAAATCTTTCGGTCGTTTTTTAACCCACTTACCGTGATTCAATCAAGTTGACATTTTGCACACAGACTCGTTGTGCGTGACAATTAATGTTCGTGAACATTTTTTTCCTAAATTTTACACTTTATAGGACAAAAATATTATATTTAATTACCAATTGTTTAATACTGCAGACAATCATCTGACCCATAGGTGGCAGCCATCTCAAGCCAGAGGACGAGAGGACTCGAGCCGCCACGCATAAAAGGATTTATAGTGATAAACGTTGTTTTTACGGGTTATACTTATTATGCTATCGGCATACCCCATTTTCATTGATTTTACCCGAAGTTAACTCTGTCACTTATTGTTGCGAGTCAGTGACTGCTTTAGTATTAAAATACGGTGCTTTGTTTTTAGGATAGTGTGTTTATAATATCATTTTATGTAGATATCCACATTTATTTAATATTTTTCTTCCACAGTTTTTATTGAAAATGCAAATATTTGACATCTCAAAAACCTGATGTGATAGACAAAAACTGATGCCAGATTTGGAAACCTTTTCGATTTAAAGCTTTCGTGACTGCAGGGATTCATCTTCTTGGTTCTTTCGGTAAAGTCACGTAGAAGGGAAATAATAAAATATTAAAAATAAAAATAATAAAATAATTCTCACGACGTTTCGGCCACAACGCAAGCAGCCGTCCTCAGGTGAAGACCAGGTCTGTCGGAAAGACAGAGTCTGAATGTCGCCTCGACAGACCTGGTCTTCACCTGAGGACGGCTGCTTGCGTTGTGGCCGAAATGTCGTGATAATTATTTTATGTTCTATTATTTTTATTATTTTATTACTTCCCTTCTACGTGACTTTACCGAAAGAACCAAGAAGAAAAAACATAACATTTCGATTTAAAGCTTTCGTGACTGCAGGGATTCATCTTCTTGGTTCGGTAAAGTCGCGTAGAAGGGAAATAATAAAAATATGTTTTATTATTTCCTTTCAAAAATGTTTTATTCTTATTCATCTTCTTGGTTCGGTAAAGTCACGCAGAAGGGGAATAATAAAATAAAAAAGATGAACTTTTATTCTTTTATTACTTCCCTTCTACGCGACTTTACCGAAAGTACCAAGAAGAAAAAACACAACACTCTAATATGAAAAGAAAACAAACCTTGTTGGCCAAGGCGATGGCGTCATTCCGAGGCAAGGCCGGTGACCTGCCCGTTACAGCGTGGAACCTGCACCGTCATAACGCGCCTGTTATAGCGTGGAAGCTGCAACGTCATAACGCGCCTGTTATAGCGTGGAAGCTACACCGTCAGGAGGCTGAACAAGTCTGCTACAGCACGGAACGTGGTGCCGTTTTCTGGAGCGTGTCGACCATGCTGGGCGGGTCGTGGGCCGCGGACGTGGGTTGCGGGCGGCTCATCGACACGGGGGGGCAGTCGTCCATCCTGCTGCGGGAGGCGAGAGAGGGAGGGAGGTGAGGGAGGCAGGGGAGGCAGGGGAGGGAGGTGAGGGAGGTGAGGGAGGGAGGCGAGGGAGGCGAGGGAGGTGAGGGAGGGAGGCGAGGGAGGTGAGGGAGGCAGGGGAGGCAGGGGAGGGAGGTGAGGGAGGTGAGGGAGGTGAGGGAGGGAGGCGAGGGAGGCGAGGGAGGCGAGGGAGGGAGGCGAGGGAGGCGGGGGAGGCAGGGGAGGCAGGGGAGGGAGGTGAGGGAGGTGAGGGAGGTGAGGGAGGGAGGTGAGGGAGGTGAGGGAGGGAGGTGAGGGAGGGAGGCGAGGGAGGGAGGCGAGGGAGGTGAGGGAGGCAGGGGAGGGAGGGGAGGGAGGTGAGGGAGGTGAGGGAGGTGAGGGAGGCGAGGGAGGGAGGCGAGGGAGGCGAGGGAGGCAGGGGAGGCAGGGGAGGGAGGTGAGGGAGGCGAGGGAGGCGAGGGAGGCGAGGGAGGCGAGGGAGGCGAGGGAGGGAGGCGAGGGAGGTGAGGGAGGCAGGGGAGGCAGGGGAGGGAGGTGAGGGAGGTGAGGGAGGCGAGGGAGGCGAGGGAGGTGAGGGAGGGAGGGCGGAGGGAGGGAGGTGAGGGAGGGAGGCGAGGGAGGTGAGGGAGGGAGGCGAGGGAGGTGAGGGAGGGAGGCGAGGGAGGGGAGGGTGGTGAGGGAGGCACGGGAGGGAGGGAATCAGACAAACGTCCATCTGTTAAAAGTCACGTATGCTCAGAATCAAGAGTCTGTATTCAGGCTGGAGGAGGAAAGGAATCCGATGAGCTATGAAGCTCTCTTTCACAGAGGTCCAGTAAGGTCACGGGGTCACGAGTTCACGCTCGCACACACGGAGGCTGTCACCGTCCGATTCGCAACAACGCGGGTGCTGTGCCAGTGGGTCAGTGGGCGAGCGGGCCTGTGGGTGAGTGGGTCAGTGGGCGAGCGGGCCTGTGGGTGAGTGGGTCAGTGGGTGAGTGGGCCTGTGGGTGAGTGGGTCAGTGGGTGAGTGGGCGAGCGGCTCAATGGGTGAGTGGGCCAGTGGCTGAGTGGGTGAGTAGGTGAGTGGGTGAGTGGGTGAGTGGGCCAGTGGCTGAGTGGGTCAGTGGGTCAGTGGGTCAGTGGGTCAGTGGGTGAGTGGGTCAGTGGGTCAGTGGGTGAGTGGGTCAGTGGGTCAGTGGGTGAGTGGGTCAGTGGGTGAGTGGGTCAGTGGGTGAGTGGGTCAGTGGGTGAGTGGGTCAGTGGGTCAGTGGGTGAGTGGGTCAGTGGGTGAGTGGGTCAGTGGGTGAGTGGGTCAGTGGGTGAGTGGGTCAGTGGGTCAGTGGGTCAGTGGGTGAGTGGGTCAGTGGGTCAGTGGGTGAGTGGGTCAGTGGGTGAGTGGGTGAGTGGCTCAGTGGGTGAGTGGGTCAGTGGGTGAGTGGGTGAGTGGGTCAGTGGGTCAGTGGGTCAGTGGGCGAGCGGCTCAGTGGGTGAGTGGGTCAGTGGGTCAGTGGGTGAGTGGGTGAGTGGGTCAGTGGGTGAGTGGGTCAGTGGGTGAGTGGGTGAGTGGGTCAGTGGGTCAGTGGGTGAGTGGGTCAGTGGGTGAGTGGGTCAGTGGGTGAGTGGGTCAGTGGGTGAGTGGGTCAGTGGGTGAGTGGGTCAGTGGGTGAGTGGGTCAGTGGGTGAGTGGCTCAGTGGGTGAGTGGGTCAGTGGGTGAGTGGGTGAGTGGGTCAGTGGGTGAGTGGGTCAGTGGGTGAGTGGGTCAGTGGGCGAGTGGGTCAGTGGGCGAGCGGCTCAGTGGGTGAGTGGGTCAGTGGGTGAGTGGGTCAGTGGGTGAGTGGGTGAGTGGGTCAGTGGGTGAGTGGGTCAGTGGGTCAGTGGGTGAGTGGGTGAGTGGGTGAGTGGGTCTGGGTGAGTGGGTCAGTGGGTGAGTGGGCGAATGAGCAGGTGAGCGGGCGGCCGGGCGAGTGGGCGAGGGAGCGGGTGGGACCTCACCAGCTGTCGTTGCGATAGTCTCGGTTGCACACCGGCTTGCGCAGCCGGCACCAGACGAAGAAGCCGATTACGGTGACGACGAGAGACACGCCCGGCACGGCGCCCGGCACGGCGCCCGGCACGGCGCCCGTCACGGCGCCCGTCACGGCGCCCGGCGTTACTGCTCGCTGCACGCGGCACACCACGTATCACACGCACGCCAGCGTCACTGCACTACGCACACACCACGCATCACACCACACACACCACACACACCACGTATCACACCACACACACACCACACACACATCACACACACCACACACACACCACACACACCACACACACACCACACACACACACCACACACACACCACACACACACCACACACACACCACACACACACACACCACACACACACCACACACACACCACACATCACACACACCACACACACACCACACACACACACCACACACACATCACACACACACCACACACACACCACACACACACACCACACACACACCACGTATCACACCACACACACCACACACACACCACACATCACACACACCACACACACCACACACACACCACACACACACACACACTCACACACACACACACACACACACATCACACACACCACACACACACCACACACACACCACACACACACCACACACACCACGTATCACACCACACACACACACCACACATCACACACCACACACACATCACACACACCACACACACACCACACACACCACACACACACCACGTATCACACCACACACACCACACACACACACCACACACACACCACACATCACACACACATCACACACACCACACACACACACCACACACACACCACGTATCACACCACACACACACACACCACACACCACACACACACACCACGCATCACACCCACACACACCACACACACACCACACATCACATCATCATCGTCGTCATCGTCGTCATCATCATCATCGTCATCATCGTCATCATCATCGTAATCATCGTCATCGTCATCATCGTCATCATCGTCGTCATCATCGTCATCATCATCGTCGTCATCGTCGTCGTCATCGTCGTCGTCACATTGCTCGCACTGGTAGAGGTGGCACCCACCCAGCACGGAGGGTAATGGTTCCTCTCCGCCAGCCTTCTTCCACTCGTAGCTGATGGGCGACGTTCCCTCTGTGGACAGGCACCGCAGAGACAGCTCCTTGCCCTGCAGCACCGAACCGTTCACCACGCAGCTGGGCTGGCTCGCCTTCACTGCACCAGCTGGGAGAGTGGGGGGGGAGCAAGGGGCAGAGGTCGCAAACGGGTTTTGATTCCTTACCCGTACCCGGCCGCACCAGGGTCGCAACCGGCTACCCGTACCCTACCCGATACCCGGCTACCCGTACCCGGCCGGGTAGGGTACGGGTATCGGGTACCCGATTGCGACCTCTGGCAAGGGCTCACAACAGCTTCAAGTGTTCTCTGTTGCGCTTGGTTTGGCGCGGTTGGCCACGTGACGGGAAGCTACTGGGGCTGCGTGTACGTGTGTCTACATGCGTGCGTGTACGTGTGTGCGTGTATGTGCGTGTACGTGTGTCTACATGCGTGCGTGTGTCTACATGCGTGTGTACGTGTGTCTACATGCGCGTGCGTGCGTGTACGTGTGTGTACGTGTGTCTACATGCGCGCGCGTGCGTGCGTTCGTTACCCAGCACGACGAGCCTGATGGGCACCTGCTGGATGAAAGCGCCAAACTTCACTCTGCACGTGTAGACTCCCCCGTCGTTCCCCTGCAGCGCGGCGATCTGCAGCGACGCGTCCCGCTGCGTCACGTTGCGCGCGAAGCGCACGCGGGACGCGAAGTCCGGGTAGATGTGCTCCTCGTCCCCGACGAACGTGGCCAACTGAGGATAGGGGGGGACAAAAAGGTATCCGCCGCCGCCGCCGCCACCACCACCGCCGCCACCACCACCGCCGCCACCACCGCCGCCACCACCACCACCGCCGCCGCCACCACCGCCGCCGCCACCGCCACCACCACCGCCGCCGCCACCACCACCGCCACCACCGCCACCACCACTACCGCCGCCACCACTACCGCCGCCACCACCGCCGCCGCCACCGCCGCCGCCACCACCGCCGCCACCGCCACCACCACCACCGCCACCACCACCACCGCCGCCACCACCGCCACCACCACCGCCACCACCACCACCACCGCCGCCACCACCACCACCGCCACCACCACCACCACCGCCGCCACCACCACCACCGCCACCACCGCCACCACCACCGCCGCCACCGCCAGCTAAACAGCGCGCTGCCGGGCAGAGCGCTCGCCGCAGCGGAGGCCGGCTACGGTGGAGACGTTCGCTACGCAACCGCATTTTAGGCCGAGTTGACCTAGGGAAGGCCCAGGGACCACGTTCGGTGTTGGGCCACGAGTGGGAATCGAACTCGGGTCTCCAGGTTCGTAGCGCGACGGAGCGCTATCGACGCTCCTGCTTCCCATGACGCCTATGAAGGCAACGTCACGTGGGTGGTGGGGTGGTGCCCGGCACCCCCAGCGACGACGTTCGCTAGGCAACCGCAGCGGGTACTCGTTTCAGGCCGAGAGAACCTAGGCGTGGGCCAGCAGCGGTTCGTTATTATCGTCAGTGGTGTTGTCCACTGGCAGGTCACGGGGCAGAGCCAGAGGGTCAGAGGTCGCAACCGGGTACCCGATACTCGTACCCGGCTACCCGGCCGGGTATGGCAACGGGTACCCGTTTGTGACCCTGGTGCAACCGGGTACGGGTAGGCCGTGAGTCACTGGTGAGTCACCGTTTGTCGTTCATTTCCCAACGTCTTGTCTCTTCTCACAATTCAAGTTCCTAGAATCAACCGACCCGCGCCTGCAACATGGCTTCATCCCAGAGGTCGCAATCGGGTACCCGATACCCGTACCCTACCCGATACCCGGCCGGGTACGGGTAGGGTACGGGTAGCGTACGGGTAGCCGATTGCCACCCTGGTGCGGCCGGGTACGGGTAAGGAATCAAAACCCGTTTGCGACCTCTGCAGAGGGTTGATCGACTGAGATTACTGACAGATGCACGCAGCACTACACACACCGACACCATAGCAGCAGCAGCCAGCATTCGTCACTGAGCGGCGGTGACACATTGCCAGGGTGTGTTGTGCCAGGCCAGGCCGTCTGTGCACGTGATGATGATGATAAGCCACCTTGATGGGCAATCGTGTGTGGCCAGGTCGCTTCTGAATAAAGAAGCTCAGAGCTGAGTGGGCTTTACCAGGTTTACACTTCTATTGATTTTTAGACTGTTTAAGTGACATTTGTTTTCCTATACTTTGCACTCCTATCGTGTTCTTGTAGCCGTTTGTTGTTGGAACGTTCTGACCCCCCCCCCCCCCCCCGTGCCTCTACTGGACATCTGTGGACAAAGAGCTTTACAGCTGATCGGATTCCTCCTGCAGTGCAGATACAGATTCTGTACGAGACTGCGGGCGACTTCTGCGTAGGATCCTACAGGTGTCTGTGTTGGAGTCTGCTGGAGGCTACGTATGAACCTACGGGCGGCTGCGTAGGAGCCTGTGGCAGAGGTCGCAACCGGGTACCCGATACCCGTACCCTACCCGATACCCGGCTACCCGTACCCAGCCAGGTACGGGTAGCCGGGTACCCGTTGGCGACCCTGGTGCGGCCGGGTACGGGTAGGCTGTGAGTCACTGGTGAGTAACCGTGTGTCACTCATTTCGGGTAGGGTACGGGTAGGGAACGGGTACCCGTACCAGGCCAGGTACGGGTACGGGCACCCATTTGCGACCCTGGTGCGGCCGGGTACGGGTAAGGAATCAAAACCCGTTAGCGACCTCTGGCCTGTGGACTTGTAGTGTATAGTGTAGTGTATAGTGTAGTGTATAGTGTAGTGTAAAGTGTAGTGTGTAGTGTATAGTGTAGTGTATAGTGTAGTGTATAGTGTAAAGTGTAGTGTGTAGTGTAGTGTATAGTAGTGTCGTGTGTAGTGTAGTGTATAGTAGTGTATAGTGTAGTGTATAGTAGACTGAGGCTCCTATAGCTCAGTGTTAATGAGAGAGCCTCAATGAGCCAGACTGAGTCTCCTATAGCTCAGTGTTAATGAGGGAGCCTCAGGGAGCCAGACTGAGGCTCCTATAGGGTTCAGTGTTAATCACTGAGACTTACAGAGCCAGACTAAGAATCCCATAGGGTTCGGTGTTAATGACTGAGACTCAGGGAGCCAGACTGAGGCTCCTATACGATCCTTAGGGCTCAGTATTAATGCGTGGGAGCCTACAGGCGTCTCTGCGTGTGCGACGGGCTCTCTGTATCTCTCTTCCTCACGTAGATGTTGGTAGTGGGCGTCTGCAGGAACCACTCCACGTCCAGCTGCTCAGTGGCCGTCGGATCGACCTTCCAGGTGCAGCCCAGCACCACCGTCTCCCCCTCCGTTTTCTCTACCCACGAGACGGCTGCCAAGAGGGGGGGGGGGGGGGGTGACACGGTTGTGAAGTAATGTCTTCAAGAGTCACGTAATTGTATTTGTGTTTCTCTGTTAGTGCCCCAAACACGTAGATTTACCCACACAGGCTTACTCAGAGAGGCATAGACTCACACAGTGACCCACAGACTCACACAGAGACCCCTAGACTCACACAGAGACCCATAAACTCACTCAGAGAGGCATAGACTCACACAGTGACCCACAGACTCACACAGAGACCCCTAGACTCACACAGAGACCCATAAACTCACTCAGAGAGGCATAGACTCACACAGTGACCCACAGACTCACACAGAGACCCCTAGACTCATACAGAGACCCATAAACTCACTCAGAGAGGCATAGACTCACACAGTGACCCACAGACTCACACAGAGACCCCTAGACTCATACAGAGACCCATAAACTCACTCAGAGAGGCATAGACTCACACAGTGACCCACAGACTCACACAGAGACCCCTAGACTCATACAGAGACCCATAAACTCACTCAGAGAGGCATAGACTCACACAGTGACCCACAGACTCACACAGAGACCCCTAGACTCACACAGAGACCCATAGACTCATACAGAGACCCATAGACTCACACAGAGACCCATAAACTCACTCAGAGAGGCATAGACTCACACAGACCCATAGACTCACACAGAGACCCATAGACTCACACAGAGACCCATAGACTTACACAGAGACCCATAGACTCACACAGAGACCCATAGACCCACAAAGATCCCCGTGTAGCGTTCCACAGACTGTTGGGGCAAGTGCTGTTAGCGAGTCAGCAGCAGCAGCACCACGCCCGGCCGCCTTTGTCTCCCCCCCCCCAGTCGCTAACCAGTGCGCCACCGCTCCCCGTTACCAACAGCGCTCGTGCCAGGCTAGGTGCACTTGGCAACTTATCACAAACACACACAAAAACAAAGTAGCCTCGCGAATAAGATGGCACGTCCCAGCAGACAACCGCCGACTCACTGCCCATCGCGATCGCCATCGCCTGCAGCAGCAGCAACAGCAGCAGCAGCAGCGCAGAGCGAGACAACAACACGTCCGCCATTTCTGTCTCTTCGTTTCTTCATCTCGCGCCATGACGTCACGCGGCGAGGGGCGGAGTTCCGGTGGATTCACCCCCCACGCAAACCACGCTGTTGCAATATACATGTAGCACACACACAATAACACTGGTCAACACACTTGTTGTTCTGGCATTAGGTATTAACAACGAGTTTAAGGTAATTTTGGGGTGCCGATTCCAAATCTGGCATCAGTTTTTGTCCATCACATCAGGTTTTTAAGATATCAAATATTGCATTTTCAATAAAAACTGCAGAAGAAAAATATTAAGTAAATGTGGATATCTACATAAAATTATGATATTATCAACATAACAGGAGCCTGCGGGGTGGGCTGGTAGGAATAATACTCAGTACCGGTACAGGGATATCGACCGGGTATAGAGGAGTTAAAGAAAAAATTACTGTATTCTAGTGTAACGTTAATTAAAAGTGTTTGTTTTGACAAGAAACGCTGTGAGATTTAAAGACTCGTAGTCTTTCATTTCCAAACGATCACGTCTGAGATTAATTGACCTTAGATGGGGAAACTCGAATGCATTTACTAGTATAAAGGTGAAATAAAATAGAGGGAATAAACGGCACCTTGGTGCATTTTATGTCGTCTACATAGAGTTGAATAAACGGGCGTTTGGCATATTCATATAACAGTAACAGTACTACATTGAGCGGTGTTTGTTTGGCACTTCGAGTTTTTATTCGCGCGCACGACATGGATACCGAAAACAACCACGACTTTTAGGGCAAGATTTCAACAAGGTGTGTTCTCTAAAGATCGTCGTGCAGACGTGCGAGGCTGGGATTGATTGCAGTGAATGTCGGGACAGCGTGTTCATTAATCATCTTAAAGTATTTTGGGTTCGATCACATAAGTATCAATGTTGTGTCGTAACCCTCCACCACCCGACACAGCCAGTAAGGTTTGTCACGTAAACAACGCACCAATTAATTATTAGTATAGTGTATAGTAGTGTATAGTGTAGTGTATAGTGTAATAGTATATAGTGTAGTGTATAGTGGTGTAGTGTATAGTGTAGTGTATAGTGGTGTATAGTGGTGTAGTGTATAGTAGTGTATAGTAGTGTAGTGTATAGTGTATAGTAGTGTAGTGTATAGTGTATAGTAGTGTAGTGTATAGTGTATAGTAGTGTAGTGTATAGTGTATAGTAGTGTAGTGTATAGTGTATAGTAGTGTAGTGTATAGTATATAGTAGTGTAGATTTGTTTCTTGAAATAATTCCCGACGCCCCCCCGAGCTCACAGCCTCTCACAGCCGCGTGCGTGCCTCCC